AGTAGCTGGGATTACAGGCACGCGCCACCATGCCCAGCTAATGTTTTGTATTTTTAGTAGAGACGGGGTTTCACCATGTTGACCAGGATGGTCTCGATCTCTTGACCTCGTGATCCACCCACCTCGGCCTCCCAAAGTGCTGGGATTACAGGCTTGAGCCACCGCGCCCGGCCAACCTCACGGTTTTTAATACCAACTTCAAATGACTTGAGCTTGTACCCTCACTCCACCTCAGCCCACTCACCCTGACTGGGAAGCTGCATGTGCCCTTGCGAACCGCGTCCTCATCCGCCTGCCACTGGTGGGGGCGCGACGCCTCAGGCACGTAGGCTGGCTTCCTCCGCCGTAGGCTCTGCCGTAACTTGTTCATGGTGCCCGCCCCGTCTGGTAACACAGGACAGTGGTGTGGGTCAAGGGTGGGGGGTAAGAAGGTGTGGAGCTCCATGGGGAGGAACCAGTGCTCAGGGAACATGGGGTCAGATAACAAGATCACTGGAGGCAGGATTACAGGGTCACTCGGGAGGCACACCTGGGATCAGCAGCTCAAGTCAGGGGACGCGGGGAAAGGAGCCAACAGAAGGCAGGCGAGTGCCAGAGCTGGGCACTGGGGGTTCAGAACCATGGGGCTAAGGCGCACGGAGGTCTGGGGTCGAGGGGTATGGGGCACATGTTTCAGGGCATTGGAGGCCTTCTTGTCCACGTGGTAGACTTCCTCACTTCCTCATTCCCAGCACCGTGAGGATCCAAAAGATGGGAAGTCAGACACAGGAGGGTATGGGGGCTGGAGGGCATGGGGGCTGGAGGGCACAGGGGTCAGGCGCCATAGGTCAGGGGTTTTTGGGGTATGAGAGTCAGGCAGTGGGGTGATCAGAGGGCAGCAGAGGAGCTGGGAATTGCATGGGTCGGGGATGAAGGGGTCAGGTGCAGGGGGTGTAGGCATGGGGGATGGTGGCTTGTCTCTGGAACTCTGAGATGCAGCCACTGTGTGACAACTGTGTCTAATCCCCAGGCAAGTTGTGGGCCTTGTACCCACAACTCTCAGAGGCAGGGCTGTGGGTGTGTGGAGTGGACGTGGAGGTGGCCAGCCTCTAGGACAGTCTTCACTGACTGATCAGCCATTCTGACAGTCCCAGGACTGGGAACACCAACAGTATAGGGGGACTCGTGTGTGTGTGTGAGCCGGTGTGCAGTGCAATGTTCTGGAATACCGTCTGTGGACCTATATCTGAGCATGCAACGTCTGTGACTGTATTTCTGAAGGCTGTGTAAAGAACGCATGTCTCAGGATGGCGTATGATGGTGTGCATCTGTGAATGCTGTCCATGAGATGTATCCAAAAGTGTGGTTGTTGTCTGTGACTCTGAGTCCCTGACGGTTGTTGCTGAACAGCACTGATGCCCGAGAGTGGCTGTGAATGTGAACGTCTGATGTCTGTATCCGAGAGTGCCGTTGTTGTCTATGAGAGCTTGTGACTCAGTGCCTGTTGCCTGTGAGGGTGTGTCTGCTTGAGCTGTGGCCTTTGAAAGGGTGTGCCCGTGGCTGTTATCCACGTAGCTATGTCTCTGTGTGAAGGTGTGGCTATTGTCTGTGATGACATTGCCTCTGAGAGTGCATCTGAGGGACCCACAGGACTGTCTGTGTCCAGGAGCACAGCTGTTGGGGGCCGTGGCTGCTGTCTTAGAGCGTGGGTGCATGGGTGTCGCACAGAGGGTGTATCTGTGTGCAGTGGTGCAACCATAAGGGTGTGAGAACATGAGCCTGTCTCTGACAGTGTGTTCCTGGGTGTTATTTGTAAGGGTGCAACTGTCGCCCGAGAGAGTGCCGGCTGTTCTTGGTGAGACTGTTTGTACACAACTGTAGCTCCCTGTGAGAGCCTGGGCCCGCGGGTGCCATCTTTGAAAGTGCAGCTGTCATCTGTAGAAGCGTGGGTCTGTGTGTGTGGCCAGACTGTGCGAGAGTGTGTCTTTTTTTTTTTTTTTTTTGAGATGAAGTTTCACTCTTGTTGCCCAGGCTGGAGTGCAATGGCGCGATCTCGGCTCACTGCAACCTCCGCCTCCCGGGTTCAGGCAATTCTCCTTCCTCAGCCTCCTGAGTAGCTGGGATTACAGGCACGCACCACCATGCCCAGCTAATTTTTTGTAGTTTTAGTAGAGACGGGGTTTCACCACGTTGACCAGGATGGTCTCGATCTCTTGACCTCGTGATCCGCCCGCCTCGGCCTCCCAAAGTGCTGGGATTACAGGCGTGAGCCACCGCGCCCAGCCCGAGAGTGTGTCTCTTGAGTGTGCATCTCAGAGTCTGTATCCGACGAGCTTCTGTGGCCAACTGTGAGTCTGGGTGTTGTCCCAGAATCATAGTATGTGGATTTATGTGTGTGTGTACTAGTGTGATGAACATCTACTTGAGCACATGTTCGAGTGTCACTACATTAGCAAGTGTGTGTGATCTGAAAGAGATCATCTCTGTGTGTGTGTGTCTAACCATATGTCTACAGATGTGAATGTCTGAGAGTGTGACTCTGCCCCTGAGGCTGTAAGGGTGTCAGGGTGTGTGTCGGTGCATGAGCAGGGCTCTGACAGTCGCTGAGGAAGATGCCTGAGGGTGTCCACTCATGAATGGGGGTAAACCTGTGTGACCGCAGCGACAGCTCCTCTGGCTGTGCCAGGCAAGACCATGTACCCATTCAGCCCTGCCCTATCCCAGGCTGGTCACTCACCTGGCTCCGTCCTGCAGGTTTCTGGGGGCCCCAGGGCCCCACAGGGGGCTGGGGGCAGATGCCGCTCAGGCCTCTGGGGTCCGCCCTGCCCAAGTGGGGGAGGAGAAGGTGAGAAGTTTGTCTGGGGTGTGGCTCGGTCCAATACCTCACCCCCACTTTGGACTTCGGCCAGCACCCTCCATCTTGGGCTCCCTGATGAGAGTCCTAGTTGTCCTAGCAACTGTTACCAGGGAAACCAGCCGCCTGGTTCCAAGGGCCCAGGAAGGAGTAGGTATGTTTGTGGGGCATACGTTGGGGATGTGCTGGCCTCAGGAGAACTTCACTGCCCAAGGGCATGCTGTGAGAGTGGTCTTGCCCTCTAGATGCATGTTCAGGGCTACACACGTATGGAGCCAGCTTGTGTCTACAGGTGTCCCTAGCATCCGGCCACAGCTCTTCACACTTGGTTACACACAGACACAATCACAGCTACACACCTCAGATCGCACAGATACACAGAAACAGTCACAGCCCCAGAAAGCTGCCAATGTAAATAAACATCTGGCCACATATTCATGTTCAGACACACACCGTCTCTACTACAGACATTTGTCCACATACATGGAGCGTGTCCCGGCCTGCTCAGTCCCCACCACAGACACCTGACCACACCACCCACTGAAATGTGGTTGTTTCCACATTCTCAGCCACATACAAAGAACGGGGCCCAGACACACCCACTAGAGCCGCACATGCATGGCCACACCCAGTGACAGCTATGTTTCCTCAGGCACCTACCCAAGATACTGACGTCATAGGCCCACCCAGATAGAATCACACCCAGAGTTCACCGATTTGGTGACCCCATCCCACACGGACACAATCGCAGCTATACACACTTGTCACACGTCTCTCCACTGCTGCACACTGACATCTGGTCACAGATGCACATGGACAAACACACAGTTGGTTCCACGGAGACCACACACAGGCACAGCTGCACATGGACATGAAGCCTCAACCAGACCAGTCACACCAACACACTGTTTTTGGCCACACACTGTCATATAGTCTCACATACGCAGTCTTAGGTGCTCACATCTGGTCACAGCACCATTCACACAGTCTATGTTGACAACCACACTCATAGGGACAGTTCCCTATACACAACCACACACGGAGGTTCTGATGGCTACAGCATGCAACGACCCACAAACAACTGTCCTCAAGGATGGCCACCCTCAGACACAGCCATACACATTCCAGAGTGGTCCTTTGGCATGGCCACAGCATCAGTGTCCACATGACCCAGCCACCTATCATGGTCATAATCCCATCACCCCGTGTCCCATACACAGCTGTACCATGTCATGCCAACACAGTGAAACCTACAGCCTTTCTTCATTCAGGCACACGAGCCACAGAGACAAGTATGTGGCCATATGAAATCACAGCCCCGTGTGGACAGGTGCACAAAGTCACAAGCCCCACCTACACACATATCTCACACACAGAGACATAGACACACAGTTTCAGTTTCCCACATCACAAGTATACCGTCCAGTGTATGCACAGAAATGCAGTGACCAGGACGTGGCATTTATAGCTGGGTTTACAAAGAAGTTACAGGTCCTGAGGGAGCCACATGTAGTGAGGGGCCAATCTCCTCATCACCAAGTCACACATTCAAACACAGGTAGTCCAGCACACACACACAAACACACACACACACACACAGACAAAAACAGGCACAGAGCTACAGACCCCACACTCTCACAGATGATGACACAGACACAAGCAGATATAGTCACCCAGGCTCACAGACATGCAGGTCACATACAGGAATACAGTCACATCACACACACACCCCTACAAACAGTTTTCCCGGCACCAGCAAGAGACACAGCCATAGCTGTAGTCACACACAAATAAACCCTCTAAACAGCCAGGGTTTCAGACACCAAGTCAAATACATAACCCAAATCACACATAAAAGGTTAGAAATACACATAATCACTCGTTATTACACACACAGCTAGATACGGTCATTTATATTAACACAATCCCAGTCGCACACTCAGACATGGTTCTGCATACGCAACCACTGTCATATACAATACTGTCACACAACCCCAGCCACAAAGACACAGTGTGACTTCAGATACAATGGCAGTCACACAGGCAGAGTTGCACAGACAGGTGGGTGTCACTCATGTATATAAAATCAGGTAGAAACACAACTATAAACATTCTCAGTCACTGGGAGGGTCACACAGGCACATGGAGCCGCAGACAACTCCACTCACACACAGTCACAACTCCACCCACATCCTGTCAGTCACACACATGCCCACCCCCAGACTCAACACATACTGTCACATACCCAGTTATAGTTATTGAGGCATACAAACACAGGGTCACAAAAGACATACTCACAGACAACCACAATCGCAACCATGCACACCTCCAAACACAGACAGACTAAAAAGTACAGGATTCTGCACTGTGAGCAGCTGTCAGACACACAGACACAGTCACACAAATGCTAGGGTCACACACACAGGCACAATCATAGACACCACCACATACAACCACAAGCACACACACACAATGCAGGATTCCTCACAGTCACCAGCCGCAGAGTACGCATGCACACACACACACACACACACACACACACACACACACACACAGAGCCACAGTCACATAACCACAGGGCACACTCCTAGCCACCTCCCCATCGCTTGCTTCCCCCCTTCCCCCCAGGTACCACACACAAAGCCGTCACCGTCACCGCAGACGCTGCAGACAGACAGGGCTGCTCCGGGTCCCTGGGGAGCCGCCCCCAGCCCAGCCTGAATCCTGGAGCCTGGGGGGCCAAGTCCGGGAGGGGGAAGCGGTACCTTGTCTGCGGGTGGGGCCGCTCTTAGACAGCTGGGCAGCCCTGGGGACAAAGGGGGTGGCCTAGGGGTTCCTGTGCCCTGGGACCCTTGACCAAGCCAAGGGGTGGAGGGGTTGGGGGTTGCCTGAAATTGTCCTTATTTTATTCAGGCTGGGGTGGGGTGGAGTTCCAGGCACAGGGACCTTGTTTTGAGAAGGGGCTGTGCCTGGGACACCGCCCAAGGATTGGGGGGATGCTGTGCCCAGGGTGCCTCTGAGGCCTGGGGGCAGGCTGTGCTTGGAGTTCCCCCAGGCCTTGGCGTGGTGGGAAAGCTGTACGCGGTGACCCCATCCTCGAGACCATGTCTAGGGAGTTGTTGTGCCGAGATCCCCTCAGGCAGGGAGGGGTAGGGATTGTGTCTGGAATCGCCTCTTGGAGGCCTTGGTTTGTAACGGGGGCTGTGTCCTGGACCCCATCTCCATCCCTATTCAGTTCTAGTTGTACTTAGAATCTCTGCACCCCTGTCCTTGATTTTGTGGGGGGTCTGTGTCCAGGATTTCTATTTCCAGGGACTTCGCAAGAGATGGCACAGGGGTCTGTGCTCAAGACCCCCGTCTCCCGGGCTTTGGCTTGTTGGGCCTGTTCCTGGACCCCCACCCAGGACCACCCTCTCCAGCCTTGGCACCCTCTCTCCATCCGGGAGCCGCGGCCGCCTCCCACCCTCCGCCACATCAGCAGCGGCGCCGCCCGCGACCCGAGCCCCCCTCTCCCGCCCTTCTCACGCTGGCCGCCGCGCTGCGGGACATCCAGGGCCCGGGCGCCCCCGCCTCCCGCGGCCCTGGCTGAGTCCGGCTCCCCGACTGCTGCTGCTGCGGTGGCGGCGGTGGCAGCTCGGTCTGACGCGGGCCAGGGCCCGGGGCCGGGGGATGGTGCGGGATGCACGCGCGCGAGCCTGCTCGGATCCCGGGAGGATTCCGTTCCGGGGGCGGGGGAGCGTCCCTCGGCCTCGGCTCCCCGCCCCGGCCCCGCCCATTGGCCCGCCGCCTGCCGTATATGCAGAAAGGCCCCGCCCCGCCCCGGCGCCTCTTAGGCCAGGCCCCGCCCCTTGGACTGCAGACCCCGCCCACACAAGACACCGCCCCGCCACGCCCATTGGCCAGTCCCGGGCTGAGCATGCCCGAGAGCCTCGCCGAGTGCTTTCCCGGGTCGGTCCTGGCCTGGGCTCCTTTCCCCTCCGTGACCCCTGACCTCAGATCCCCTCCAGCTCCGCGTCGGAAAGAGTTGTTTCTGGAAAAACCTTGCAGCCCCACACCCCCAAATCTTCCCGCTTACCCCATGGTTCCCCAGCCCGGCGGGGGCGGGCAGAAGCGGTGACGAGGCACTTTTTGCAAGGAAGGGGAGGGGGTATGAACAGACCAAGGCGTCCTGGTGCGCCATCGGTTCGGTTTCGGGAACGGGGGCGCCGGTGGGGGACCAGGGCGCGGTTCTGGCCGCTACGGCGCCCCCGCCGCCCCCTACGCCAATCCTGTGGGTTTGGCAAAGCAGCTGGCAGGGGCATTAGGGCCCATTAGTAAAGGCGAGGTTGCCGGGAGCGAGCCTGCAGCCGAGAGGCACTGTGTGTGGGGGAGGCCTCAGCTGCCACAGCCCTTAGAGCAGGTGGTCAGCACGTGGGGGGGTGGGGAAAGGGAGAAGGAGGTTCCCGGCAACAGATGGCCCAGGCAGGGCTGGGGCTTTCAGACAAGGGGGTGTGGGGGGCTGGCCATCTGCACCTGGAGGCCGCCGGCGAGCTCCTCCCCCTCTCCCCCCAACCCCAGCGCAGAGAGAAGAGCTGGGGGAAGGGAAGGCTGCTTTTATTCCAACTGAAGGTTCAGCTCCCCCACCTCTACCCCTACCCTCCAACACATTGAGAGGCTGGAACCCGCGAGAAGGCAGCTGGTGGAGGAGCGAGGAAGGCAGAGGTGATGACTGCCTCCAGGACCACCATCTCGCCTTCTACCCGGAGACCTGAGGCAGAGGTGAGGGCTCCCCCTGATGAGTCCGGATCTGCATAACGGCATGCGGGGGCCCAACGCTCCCTCAAATGTTGCCAAAGATAAGTTAACCACTTCCCTGGCTTAGAGTTCCCGGATGCCCACTTTGGAGTGGGGAGGCACAGGATCTAGGGCACGAAGTTGAGAGTTCCCCAGCCCCAGGAACCCTGAGCTCCTGGGCCAAAGAGGGGAGCCAGGCAAGGCTGGAAAGCCCAAGGGGCTCCCCCGACCCAGGGCAGATGGGGAAGGGATAAAAGGCACCACAGCAGGGTATGGCCTGCTATGGGGACGCAATCCCCCCAGAGGCTGTCATGAGGGATCTGCCCTGGAGTCCCCTTTGATCGGGAGGCTGCCGGCAGTGGCTGTGTCTGGCTGGCGACTGGCCCAGTAGCGGTGGTAGGTGTCCTGGAAGAGGTCCCTGCAGGCGATGCGGGCTCGGAGGCGGGCGCAGGCCAGGAAAGCCCCTGCTAGCTTGCGGTGCAGGGCATAGGTCTCCTCCGGTGGGGGGCACAGCCGGTGCCGCAGCAGCACTGGGATGAAGTCCTGTATGCGGTGGGCAGTTTCCCCGGACCCAAAGTCATAGTGGCCCTGGGTGGCGAAGGGCTCCCCCAGGATCATCACTGCCTCCACGTGGGCGTCGGAGAATGCCTGGGGGGCGGGTGGGGACAGCAAAGGCAGCCAGTGTGGACACAGAGCCCTCTGCTTAATCCAGAAAGCAGCAACGCACAGCCTCCACTCACTCCAGTCCCCACCATCAACACAAGCCACGACTCCCCCAAGAGTGAGTAGCTTCTGCTCCTTCTAGAGCCTCGAAATAGACAAGCAGCTCCCTATTCCCCAAGTAAGCCCCCCTCACTTCCTTGCAGAGCCTCCAACAGACAAGTAGCCCTCTACTCTCTCTGCAACAGATAAGCAGCCCCCGGCCCTGCAGACCAGATCCATGGTGCCCATGTTCCCAGGATTCCTGAGGAGGCAGGCAGCCACCTCCCCCTACTCCTCCCCAGAGCCCCAGCAAGGGTAAGCCTCCCTCCTAGAGTCCCCCACTCCCCAAGTAGAGACACACAACCTCCACTCTCCCTAGTGGAGACAAGCCCCTCCTAGAGTCCCCCATTTCCCCGGGTATAGACATGCCCCATCCCCCACTCGAGTCCCTCAGTAGAGATAAGCAGCCCCCCACTGCCCTCCACCAGTAGACACTAGTCCCTTTCTCCCTGTGTCTCCCAACCTTGGTTTCAAAGCCTGTGAGGAATTTGAGGTCCTTGGACTTCTGTAGGACACGGTCTCTGTCTCTGTCAGCTGCAGCCTTTACCACCTGGGGAGAGGGTGGGAATTAGAGGGACAAAGCCCGGGGTTCAAGGGGGCTCTGGAGAGGAGCTGGAAGCTTGGGCCTCCCACGTACCCACCTCCATTCTCATCTGCCTGGGCCCTCCCTCACCTGGAAGCTTCCTGCTCCCCACTCTGCCTGTCTGTGACTCCCTCAAAGACTGTTCCAGAGCCTGGGAATGGAGGTGGTCAGGGATCCTGCCCACCTAGCCGGCAATATGGGGCCTGCCTGGGAACAGTCACAGTGAAACAGTGCAAGGAAGAAGTGTCAGGACTGCTCTTGGGTCCCAACACTCAACTGGACGGATGTGAGCGTGTGCCCCAGAACTGCATCCAAAGTTGCCAGGGACCACCTCTCTGTCTCCCGCACTGGACTCTGAGCCCCATGAGAGCAAGGATCCCTGCTGTGTGTAGTCACACGGGGCACAGGGTCTGGCACTCAGGAGCCCCTGGGTGAACCTTGCTTCAGCAAATTAGCGTGTGGAGCAAAGCAGCTCTCCAGCGTGAGCTCATACATGTGGGGCAGGAGCTGTGGGCATGGACAGACATCCAGCTGGGGCCAGCTGGCTAGGGCCCCCTCCTGGCTCTGCCGCCTGCCGGCTGAGAGACCGAACAAGTCACGTTGCCCGTTGGGCCTCCACTTTCTCATCTGTGAAGTGGGGTGACGGAAGTGTCTTCCCCATGGGGCTGTTGGAAGGATAAAGATGGTGATGCCCGTGGAGTGCCTGGTGCTGTGTTTCATGCAGGAAGCACCGTAAATATTATGATCTACCACTATTAAGAGGTGGGCATGGGGGGGTCCTTGTTTCACAGAAGGGGAAGCAGACCTGGCATAGGGAGTGGAACCTGGGTCCCACCACTCACCACCGGGTTGCCCTCTTTTGTGAGGAGAGGGATTCAGGATTAATTCCATTCCCTCTCTGCTCCCCCTGCACGAGCCTGTCTGGCCATCTGTCAGGCCTGTGGTCCTCAGAAGCCAGTGTGATGGGGTTTTATAAACTGGCAAAGGCGGCTGGGCGCAGTGGCTCATGCCTGTTATCTCAGCACGTTGGGAGGCCGAGGTGGGTGGATGACTTGAGGTCAGGAGTTCAAGACCAGCCTGGCCAAGATGGTGAAACCCTGTATCTACTAAAAATACGAAAAAATTTGCTGGGCATGGTGGTGGGGGCCTGTAATCCCAGCTACTCAGGAGGCTGAGGCAGAGAACTGCTTGAAACCTGGGAGGCAGAGGTTGCAGTGAGCTGAGACTGCACAACTGCACTCCAGCCTGGGTGACAGAGCGAGACTCTGTATCAAAAAAAAAAAAGGTAGGGCGTGGTGGCTCATGCCTGTAATCCCAGCACTTTGGGAGACCGAGGCGGTCGGATCACCTGAGGTCGGGAGTTTGAGACTAGTCTGACCAACAAGGAGAAACCCCGTCTCTACTAAAGTACAAAAATTAGCCAGGCATGGTGGTACATGCCTGAAATCCCAGCTACTCGGGAGGCTGAGGCAGGAGAATAGCTTGAATCCGGGAGGCGGAGGTTGTGGTCAGCCGAGATTGTGCCATTACACTCCAGCCTGGGCAACAAGAATGAAACTCTGTCTCAAAATAAATAAATAAATAAACACACACTCCAGCCTGGGCAACAAGAGTGAAACTCGTCTATAAACAAACAAACAAAGGGGTAGGAGGGGAGGTTATCAGTGGGGAGCAAGATGTCCCAGCTGCCCAAAGGGCCTCAGCTTTGTGCCTCAGTGGCCCACAGAGAGGGCCCCGTGTGTGTAGGGGGTTACCACCTCCTCCTTCCTGTTCGCTCAGAGCCCTGGACACCTCCTCCCCGACTTCCAGCCCATCTGCTCCCATGGACTGTCTGGGCATCTCCCAGCCACCCCTCTGCCCCTCTCCACAGCTGCCCTAGGCTCCTGGCCCCCAGTCTTAGATGCCACTTCTTACTCAGAGGGAGTTTTCAAATTCTGACTGCATCCCCTCCCTGCTCAAATCCTTTCTGCGGCTCCACAGGGCACCTGGATACAGTATGAGCGCATAGCCTGGCTTCTAAAATCCACAGTGATTTGCTGCAGCCTCATCACTGGCTCCTGCTCCGCCCCCACCTGCCCTCCCAGTCAGAACAGGAGCTTCCTTTGAGTTGTCTAAGGCCTTACTACTCCAAGTGTGGTCTCCATATGGTAGCCCTGGCATCACCTGGGCACATGTCAGAAGGCAGCATCTCTCGCCCACCTCCAGACCAGAATCTGCACCTTCACAGGATGGTCAGGCTTCACATGCACATCCAAGTCTGAGAAGCACTGCCCTAATGGGAATGTCCCTCATCACTGCCTGGCCTTGGCACATGTCTGTCAGGAATACCCTCCGAACCTTTTCCCAATTGGCCCCCCTCATCCCTCAGTTCTCAATGCTGGCACTTCCTCCTCCAGGAAGCCCTCCCTGGCTCCCCAGGCTGGGTCAGGCTCCTCCTCTGGGCTCAAAGTCCTCTGTGCTTCCCCCATCCCAGCCCTGTCCATGCTGGGTCCTCACTGTTGGCCCACTGGACTATGAGTTCTGTGAGGAGGGGCCTGGGCTGGACCCAGGTCACTGCTCTGTCTCCAGTTTTGCCTAGAATAGAGTTGGGCACAGAGAAGGGGTCAGAAAACATTTAGATTGGCCAGACAGGGGGGCTCATGCCTGTAATCCGAGCATTTTGGGAGGCCAAGGCAGGAGCGTCACCTGAGGTCAGGAGTTCAAGACCAGCCTAGGCAACATGGTGAAACCCCATCTCTACTAAAAACACAAAAACTAGCCAGGCTGGTGGCATGCGCCTGCAATCCCAGCTACTCAGGAAGCTGATGCAGGAGAATCGCTTGAACCCAGGAGGTGGAGGTTGTGGTGAGCTGAGATCCAGCCACTGCACTCCAGCAGAGGTGACAGAGCAAGACTGTCTCAATTTAAAAAAAAAAAGAAAAGAAAACTTAAAAAAAGTTTAGATTGATGGCTCCATGATTAGAGGACCCGGGGCAAATGTCCAATCTCAACAATTAATGAAATGGTGTTCTCTGCAGCCTCTAAGACAAGCTGACCCCAGTGGGTGGGAGGACGGGCAAAATACATGAGAAGCACCTCCTACAGACAGAGTTTCCCCCAGGGACACACAGCTAGGCTGGACACCAGGGCCCTGGACAGTGCGGGCTCTGGAGGTGACAAGATGGCCACTGTGGGCCTTTCTCTTAGGAGGGAGCTGGGCAGTGGTTGGAAGCTTGGGCTCTCGATTTGGACTACCTGAATTTGAATCCCAAGTCTGCTGTGATCTTGGGCAAGTAACTTAACTGCTCCAGGACCCAGTTACTTCATCTGTGAAACGGACCTAAAAACGGTCCTTACTGCAGTGTGTTGCCGTGTGGTTTAAATCGGTTACTATATGTAAGCACTAAAGATGCAGCCTAACAGATTAAGTGCTTGGCGTGTGCTAGCTGCTAGAATACTACCATTATTTATTATTTCTGAATTCTAGAAACTGCCCTTCTCCTTCTTACTCCTCTGCCTCAGTATATGGCATGAGCTTCAGCTTTTCAGAGACCCCGAGGTCTGGGGGAGACTCACCTCAATGTAATGGTCTGTGAACTCCGTCCCAAACTCCCGGCTTGCACCAAAGTCCAGCAGAGTCACCTGGAAGCAAAAAATGGTGAAAGGAATGCTGGGATCCCATCCACATCCCCACTGTCTAGCAGTACAGCCAGGATCAATCAACCCCCCACAACCCTGCCCGCTCCTGCAGAGCCCCTGCCTGGCTGCCTCACTGGGCTCCTGGCCTGGTCTCCACATTTCCAACCGACCCCCAGACAGTAGCTGAAGGCATCTGGCTTTTATTTTTTTAGTTCTAATTGTTTATGCAATAACAAATTTTAGGCCCAGAAACAAAAATCCAGAGAATAAAAGATATATAAAAGTAAAATGAATACCCACAAATCTCTCCACCCAGCATAAAATGTAAAATACTCCCCATCCACGCGGAGCCTCCTGTGTATCCCACCCTGATCACACCTCCCCCAGGTCCCCAGGGTCACCACTTTCCTGAAATCATTATTAAATTATTTCCTGAAATTCTCATTTATGCATTTCTGTCTTGTCTTTTTTTTTTTTTTTTTTGAGACAGTGTTTTGCTCTTGTTGCCCGGGCTAGAGCGCAATAGCGCGTTCTCAGCTCACCACAACCTCCACCTCCCGGGTTCAAGTGATTCTCCTGCCTCAGCCTCCCCAGTAGCTGAGATTACAGGCATGTGCCACCACGCCTGGCTAATTTTGTATTTTTAGTAGAGACAGGGTTTCTCCACTTTGGTCAGGCTGGTTGCAAACTTCCGACCTCAGGTGATCCGCCAGCCTTGGCCTCCCAAAGTGCTGGGATTACAGGCGTGAGCCACCTTGCCCGGCCATTTCTGTATGTTCTATGAATGTGTACAGCTGGAAACAATGTAGAGTAATGGTGTCCGTATTTTCAAACTTCACGGAAGTGGTATTTACTATTGTTATCCTGCAACTTGTGCTTTTTGCCCAACATGATTTTGCAATTTACCCTTGTTGCCACGTGTCGCCCCAGCTCAGTCACTCATTTTGCATTGCTGTGGAAGGACTTCGTTGTGTGAATACATTATAGTGCATTTACCTGGCAGAGAAACACTGTGGTTGTTTCTGATTTTTTTTTTCGTTCTTTTAAAATATCTATTAGTTACAAACTGTTTCTGACTCTTTCTTTTTTTGAGACACGGTCTTGATCTATTGTCCAGGCTGGGGTGCCATGGCACAGCCATGGCTTACTGAAGCCTCGGACTCCCAAGCTCAAGTGATCCTCCCGCCTCAGCCTCCTGAGTAGCAGAGACCACAGGTGTACCCCACCACACTTGGCTAAGTTTTAAAAATTTTTTGTAGAGATGGGGTTTCACTATGTTGTCTAGACAGGTCTCGAACTACTGTGCTTCGCTCTTGTTACCCAGGCTGGAGTGCAATGGCGCGATCTCGGCTCACCGCAACCTCCGCGTCCTGGGTTCAGGCAATTCTTCTGCCTCAGCCTCCTGAGTAGCTGGGATTACAGGCACGCGCCACCAGGCCCAGCTGATTTTTTTGTATTTTTAGTAGAGATGGGGTTTCACCACGTTGACCAGGATGGTCTCGAGCTCTTGACTTCGTGATCCACCCACCTTGGCCTCCTAAAGTGCTGGGATTACAGGCGTGAGCCACCGCGCCCGGCCAGACATTACATTAACAAGTCATCTCACCTGGCCTGTTTCTAACTTTTGTGCTCAATGAACATCTGTAACAGTGTTTCGAGGGCAGTAGAGTCTGAACAAACAACCAACCCACAGTAAGAAATTGTTTCTGCTGGTGCCTGGGCATGGTGGCTCACACCTGTAATCCCAGCACTTTGGGAGGCTGAGGTTGGTGGATCACCTGAGGTCAGGAGTTCAAGATCAGCCTGGCCAACATGGTGAAACCCCGTCTCTACTAAAAATACAAGAAACTAGTCAGTAGTCCTAGCTAATTGGGAGGCTGAGGCAGGAGAATTGCTTGAACCCGGGAGGTGGAGGTTGCAGTGAGTTGAGATCATGCCACTGCACTGCAGCCTGGGCAATAAGAGTGAAGCTCCATCTCAAAATAAATAAATAAATAAATAAAATTAAATATAAAGAAATCGTTTCTACTGGGCATTCATGCAAATGCACACATAAACGTCAAACAAAATTGTCCCATAATAATACAGATCCCTCCCATCTGTGACATACTGACATCTTCTATTCTATTAAAAAAAAAAAAGTGGCCGGGCGCGGTGGCTCACGCCTGTAATCCCAGCACTTTGGGAGGCCAAGGCGGGTGGATCACGAGGTCAAGAGATCGAGACCATCCTGGTCAACATGGTGAAACCCCGTCTCTACTAAAAATACAAAAAATTAGCTGGGCCTGGTGGCGCGTGCCTGTAATCCCAGCTACTCAGGAGGCTGAGGCAGGAGAATTGCCTGAACCCAGGAGGCGGAGGTTGCGGTGAGCCGAGATCACGCCATTGCACTCCAGCCTGGGTAACAAGAGCGAAACTCCGTCCCAAAAAAAAAAAAAGTGCTGTCAGAAACCAATCAATTCAGGCCGGGCGCGGTGGCTCAAGCCTGTAATCCCAGCACTTTGGGAGGCCGAGGCGGGTGGATCACGAGGTCAAGAGATCGAGACCATCCTGATCAACATTGTGAAACCCCGTCTCTATTAAAAATACAAAAAATCGCCGGGCGCGGTGGCTCAAGCCTGTAATCCCAGCACTTTGGGAGGCCAAGGCGGGTGGATCACGAGGTCAAGAGATCGAGACCATCCTGGTCAACATGGTGAAACCCCGTCTCTACTAAAACTACAAAAAATTAGCTGGGCATGGTGGCGCGTGCCTGTAATCCCAGCTACTCAGGAGGCTGAGGCAGGAGAATTGCCTGAACCCAGGAGGCGGAGGTTGCGGTGAGCCGAGATCGCGCCATTGCACTCCAGCCTGGGTAACAAGAGCGAAACTCCGTCTCAAAAAAAAAAAAAAAAAAAAAAGAAACCAATCAATTGATGTCAGGACCCTACCACTTGCAGTTGGATAAACATCGCTGGGGTGTGAGCCTAGGAGGGACACAGGGTGTGTGCACATTGTGGAGAAAGAAAAGGCAAGGGACTGAGGCTGGAGACTCGGTGGGGCCACAGATGCTCAGCAAAGGGCTCAGACTTGATTCTGAGGGGGCTGGGAAGCTGTGGGAGGGATATCTTGACCAGATTTGTGCTTTAGAAAGACCCCTCTGGAGACAAAATGGGGACAGACCTCTTTGTAAAGTTACTTGGCATCCCTTGATAAAGTTAAAGATGTGTCCACTGACGCTCAAGTCTGCAGGTCCAAACTTTCACTCCAGGTCTTTGGACACCCTCTGCCCTCTGCCAGGAACACTCTGCTCTCTGGGTGGTTGTCTCTTTTTCCTCAGTCTCAGCTTTTTTTTTTTTTTTTGGTAAATAGAGTCAGGGGTCTCCCTTTGTTGCCCAGACTGGTTTTAACTTCCTGGCCTCAACGAAGCCTCCTGACTCAGCATCCCAAAGTGCTGGAATTACAGGCATGAGCCACCATGTTCAGCCTCTGGTCTCAGCTTTTTTTTTTGAGACAGAGTCATGTTCTGTCACCCAGGTTGGAGTGCAGTGACATGATCTTGGCTCACTGCAGCCTCGACCTCCTGGGCTCAAGCGCTCCTCCCACCTCAGCCTCCCAAGTCACTGGGACCACTGATCTCAGCTTTCATGCACTTCCTTTAAGAAGCCTCCCTTAATCCCTGCTCACCCCACACTGAATCAGGCACTTTTTTTTTTTTTCCTGGGATCCCAGAGCTTCCTGTGCCTCCCCAACCTCCGGCCCTCACCCCTCTGCCTGTGCCTCCCCCATCCAGGTCGTGAACCATCTGGCCCGTCCTTCCTCATCGTGGTTGGTACGAACCACTCTGGGTCATCACTGCGTGGTGCCAGCCCCCCCCCACAGAACTGGGCGCTCTGAGAAGGCAAGGGTCAGAGATGTCTTTTTGTTGCTGTCAAGAGACAGGGGCAGGTGATGGTGTGTTCTGCATGGATGGTGAGTGTGATGGTGATGGCCAACTGCCTTCCAAAAGCTGTACTTCCCCTCTGTGCTGTCACATTGCCACCAGGAACTGCTGCCTAGCCAGGGACTCCATTTTCCAGCATGCCTTGCACCTTGGCAGGCCACGTGACTAGCTCTCGCTGATGGAATGGCAACCTACGTGGTATGTCCATTGCCCCAGGATAAGCTTAGTGTACTTAGCCTGGGCATTACTTTTTCCACTTCTGGCCAAAGCAGTAGGGCAGGGGGCTACCCTCTCAACCTCTCTTACCCTTTCCTTGGGAAGCAGAGCATTGTAAGGCCCCAGATGAGACAACCACAAAAGGGGAGGAGCTGGGTCCCTGAATCACCACTTGGAAAAGGGCTGCCTCTGCCTGCTGTTAGGGGTAATAAAGTGCTATTGTGTTGACCTACTGGAATATCAAGGAATATCTGTTACAACAGCAAAGACACCCTGACACACATCACTAGGAACCAACCTGGTGGCTGGAGGCGTCATACAGGAAGTTGGCCCAGTTGGGGTCGGTTTGCATGAATCGGAATTCAAACAGCTCCCGCAGACACAGCGTCAGGAGCTGGAAGCAAATCTGGGGTGGGGAGGAGTAGTAGGCATCACGGTGTGATCCCCCCTGTGGCACCCTCACTGGCCTGGAGAGGGACCAGAAGCCTGGCCCACCCGCCCTGCGGCCATGCCCTTCCCGCAGTGCCACCAGACTGCATACCTCATTCCGCAGGTCCTGGCTCAGGCCCTGACACTGGTCCAGGGGCACCCCTCCGGCTAGCTCCATGCCCAGCACCCGTGTCGTGCTCAGCTCCTTAACCACGGCTGGCACTCGGAAGAAGGGGTCATTTGCCAGCAGCTGCCTGGGGCAGGAGGGAAGCGGGAAAAGGGACTTCATGTTTCAGGTCCGTGAGCCAGCTTGAGGCCTCCTCCTTGTGTTCTCAGAAGTCCTCCATGAACAGTCTCCGTCGTGCCTTCCCTCCTGCCCATCTTGCCACTGTCTGCCCTGGGTGATGACCAACCTGGCTGGACTGACATTTAACAAGTATCTCCAAGGTGCCTACTCTGCACCTGCCCCTAAACTGGGTGCTGTGGGAAACCCAGGTACCACTTCCCTACCCGAAACGCTTCTATGACTTCTGGTTGCCCCAGAAGGATGAGCTTAGTGTATTTCAGCCTTTGCATTACTTTTTTCATTAATTTATTAATTCATTCAACCCAAAAGTAGTCACTGACATCAGAATCTGTGAAGTCTACAGAGATGCCCACAGGTCACTCCTTGCAGTAACTACTGTGAACACAGGTAAATAACGGGAAAGAATCCATTATTCAGGGCAGTGAATGAACCAATTCCTGGACCCGCCCCCCCAGTCCCAAGACCACACTCTCACAAACAGACGGTTTATAGACTGCGATGATAAGTGTGTTGGCCGGGTGTGGTGGCTTACACCTGTAATCCCAGCACTCTGAGACGGCGAGGTGGGAAAATCGCTTGAGACCAGGAGTTCAAGACCAGTGTGGGCAACATGGTGAAACCACATCTCTACGAAAAACTATAAAAATGAGCTGGGTGTGGTGGCCCGTGCCAGCTACTCAGGAGGCTGAGGCGGGACAATCACTTGAGCCTGGGAGATTGAGGCTGCAGTGAGCTGTGATATCACCTCTGTATTCCAGCTTGGAAAACAGAGCAAGATCCTGTCTCAAAAAAATAAAATCAGTGTGTTCATGTAAGATTTGGGAGGCAGAGAATATGAGCAAGGCCCCTGGTTGAGGACCCGTGGGATGGCTGGAGGAGAGTGAGGGGAACAGGAGGGTGCTGTGGGGTTTCATCCTAAGGGCACTGGGAAATCCAGTGGGGGAGGGGGTCCTGGCCCATCACCCCACTTCGCACTCTTCTCCTCAAGCTCCTGCTTTGGGGTATTTTTGTCCTTATTGATAAAAATCTCTGATGTTTGAATTGTTCTTCATGAACTTGAGCCATGCTGGGCATTTAATTGGCACACTCCCCTTTCATCCTCACTCTACAGTGCGGGGATGCTCTCTGGAGACCACCATACGGCTGCAGGCCACGCAACCTGTTTAGGGCTGACCTGGAATTTCAGCCCGCATCCAAGTTTAGGGTGCGTGCCTCTAACCACTGCCTTCTATTGATCTTTCTCTCTGTTTATGGAGCTTGGCACGTTTCAGGCTGTCAATAAATGTGTGAGCCACACTGTGGAGGACTCCCCCCAGAGGTGCCATTAATTGCTACACATCAGGATCCTTCCAAGATAGAACCACATTGTTCCACATAGCCATGGTTCATCCATTTTCACTGCTGCGTAATATTCCACAGGTGAATATAGCATTGCTTATTGGTCCACCCTGCTGGATAAACTTGATGGATCTGGGGTGGTACCAGTTTTGGGCTGCTGCAGACAGAGCTGCTGTGAGCATTCTAGAATAGTCCGATGGTGTATAGTGGCAGAAGGGTCCCTAGAGTGTTCAGCAGGGAGGGCAATCATTGGGTTGCAGAGTTTGTGAACAGAAGGGCTTATGTGATGATGCCAACCTGTTCTCAAAGTGCTTCTGCTACCTTCTCCCCCAACCTGCGGTGCGGAAGGGGTGCTATGGAGCCCGCTCTCTCCACCTCCCAGTGCTGTGGGCTGCTTGGTCTCTGTCAGTCCAACAAAGATAAGAGTGTGGACTTTTACCTGCATTATTAAATGTGTGGGTCGGATCACAGTGGATAGGCATCCCATCTGACAGAGAAGACCGCCATCTGGGAAGTGACCTGCCCAAACTCACAGAGGACACGGAGATACGCAAGTGATGAGTGAGTGGATGGACAGATGAACAATAATTGAAAGAAAGAGCTGGGCATGGTGGCTCACGCCTGTAATCCCAGCACTTTGGGAGGCTGAGGCAGGCAGATCACCTGAGGTCCTGAGTTCGAGACCAGCCTGACCAATACAGAGAAACCCCATCTCTACTAAAACTACAAAAATTAGCAAGGTGTGATAGCACGTGCCTGTAGTCCTGGCTACTCAGGAGGGTGAGGAGAACTGCTTGAACCCGGAAGGTGGAGGTTGCAGTGAGCCAAGATCGCGCCATTGCACCCCAGCCTAGGCAACAAGAGCGAGACTGTCTCAAAAAAAAAAAAAAAAAGTAAAGAGAAAGACTTTGCCCCACCCCACAGCTCCAGCTGCCAGGAGCTGAAGGGGCATCTACTTCCCACCCAGCCTGGGAGGGAAGAAAGGAGGGAAGCTCGGGGGCTCAGCTCACCTGAAGTTCTGGGCACAGGCTGCCTCACGACGGTAGTCACACTCCCAAGCCAGCTCCTGTTGCAAGGCCTGCAGGCTCTGCTCAGCAAATAGGCCTGTGGGGGAGGCGTGTCAGCTGGGAAGGGCCTGGGGCGCCCACTGGTGGATGCCTTCTCCTGCCAACCCTCCCTCTTCCGTCTCCCTCACTGTCCCCCGAAGCTCCTGCTCCAGACATCTGACCTGCATCGCATCATCTGTCTGCACATTTCCCTCGTCCTAAACATGACTGCGGGGTTCCCTAGGGTCCTCTGAAGCCTTTCCTGGGGTCTGTCTCTTGTGCGTGCCTGCACCCCGGTCCCTGGCAGCTCTTTCAGAGTCACGCTCACTCCGACTGTCTCCTTTTCATACAGACTCCCATGTTGTTCACTGCCTCTGGGTCTCACTTCTGGCCCTGGCTTTCCCTCTCCCTCTTCTTCTCTTACACAAACACAACCCGCCCTCCCTTCTCCAGCGCCTCCTCACGTGCCATCTGCAGGCTTGTCCTTTTCTGCTCTGCTGCACCTACAGTCCCGCTCCCTGCATGCACACCCTTTAGAAGTCTGCTGCTGGATCTCAGCCCTGGGTTCCTGTCTCTCTGCGGCTCTGTTCAAATCTGTGAGGCTTTTCCCACGTGTGCTCGTGCTCCCTGGGCTCTCCCCACCTTGGTGTGCTTTCTGTCTCTCCCGCTCCTGCTCACAATGCCAGCACACCCTGCCCGTGCTCCCCTCTGGACTTCCCCTCCTGCTTTCTCTCTCTCTGGCATAGCCCCTTTGGAGATCAGCAGAGGAGTGGGTGGGCGTCTCACCCTCGGGCAGAGCCGCGCTCATCCGGAGCACCGCCAGCAGGTTCTGTACATCACTCTGAATGCTCTGGGCCACACCAGGGTACTGTGAAGGAAGAGGGAGAGAGTGGGAGTCACTCCTCTGGGCCAGCAGGGTGCCCGCCCCTACCCTGCCCAGCCTCCTCTCTCACCTGGATCTTCACAGCCACCTCCGTCCCGTCCCTCAGCAGGCCCTGGTGCACCTGCCCGATCGAGGCAGCGGCAAAGGGCACCTCCTCCAGGGAGGCCACCTTGGCCTGCCAGTCCTTGCCAAGCTCCTCTTCGAGAACTCTCTGTGGGGAGTGGTCACAGCCGTCATCATCACAGCTGAGTTCATTCCCCAGGCTGAGTGCTTTACCTGTTGATAACCCCAACACTCACCACATGCAGAGCCCTGGGATAAGCTCTTGGCTGCCATCCCCTTTACAGATGAGGAAACTGAGGCTCAGAGAGAATTCTCTTGCCCAACTGACTCGCCAGGCACTGGCAGACTGTGAGGCTCAGCCCAGCTTGTGTCCCCCAAGCCTGGACTCCTTGGGCTGGTGGGCTGTTGTGGGGATTGCTATTATTTATATCTGAGAGTCACAACAATCCTCCCCCCTTTTTTTTTTGAGACAGGGTCTCGCTCTGCAGCCCAGGCTGGGGTGCAATGGCACCCTCACGGCTCACTGCAGCATCAGCCTCCCTAGCTCAAGCCATCCTCCTGCCTCCTGAAGAGCTGGGATTACAGTTACATGCCACTGTGCCCGGTTAATTATTACTATTGTATTTAGTAGAGACAAGGTCTCACTATGTTGCCCAGGGTGGTCTGGAACTCCTGGGCTCAAGCAGTCCTCCTGCCTTGGCCTCCTAAGGGATTACAGGCATGAGCCATCAGACCTTGCCAACCATTCTTATTATGCTCTTATGTGGTATTATTAACTCACAGTCAATGTGATCAAGAAGAGCTAAAATTCACAGAGGGCTTCCTGTGGGCCAGGTCCTATTCAGAGTGGCCCAGAGAGAGGCCATAGCTGCCTGGGCCACATGGTGAGGAAGCAGAACAGGGATCGGAGGGCAGGTGGGTGGCAGAATCCTGGATTCCATGCCTTACCCAGTTATTAGAACAACTCATGTCTTGGGTACTTGCTCAGTGCCAGGGGCCATGCCAACTTATTTACAGACATGATCTCCTTAAATTAAGAAAACAGTAATAATCACCACTAACACCTGCATGTCACTCACGGTGAATCAGGGGCTGTCCTCAGTGCTCTGGGTAAGCTAATTTATGTGATCCTACAATGTGGGTGTGGCTGTCACTCTTGCCATTTCCCAGGCCAGGGAACTGAAGCACAGAGGTCAAGCTGCTGCTCTTTCCTTTAATCATCACAGCAATGCTAGGAGGTGTGTACTTTGGTGATCCCCATTTTACAGATGGGGAAAGGGAGGCTCAGAGGTAGGGAGTGGGGCAGTGAAGCCAGGAGGGTCAGGCAGATCGGGGAAGATGGAGCCTGCCTCCCTCACCACCCTCCCACACCGGGCACTCACCAGCATCTGCCAGCGGGGCATGAAGTCGGCGCTCTGGCGGACCCGCTCGAAGATGCGCTGCAGCTGAGGGCTGATAAAGCTGTTGTCTTGGGAGACAGTGGAACAATGGGGGGCAGTAAGGGAGGAGGTGAGGAAGGACCCCCATGTGAGTACCTGAAATTGGGGCCTGTTGGTGGTAGGGCTGGGGTGGAAATGAGATCAGGGTCAGGGGTCAGGGTTCGAGGGTCATGCTGTACCCTGGATGCTGAGCATCTGGCCAACCTTGAGGGCGGCCCCTCGAACTGTACATAAAGTCTGCACGATCCGCTCTGCATTGGCCTCCGACAGGAAGGGGCTGGAGTCTGGCCCAGAGCCATCCTCTGGGGAGAGAACAACATTAGAATTAACAAATATCATCACTGCGGCCGGGCCTGGTGGCTCATGCCTGTAATACCAGCACTTTGGGAGACCGAGGTGGGATGAATGCAGGAGTCTGAGACTAACCTGGGCAACAGTGACATCCTTTCTCTATTAAAATAAAATATATCATCTGCACACCAACAGGAATGACTAAAATGAAACATGGAGGCCAGGCGTGTTGGCTCACGCCTATAATCCCAAGACTTTGAGAGGCCAACAAAGGAGGAAGCCCAGGAGTTCCAGACCAGCCTGGACAACAAAGCAAGACCCTGTCTCTAATTAGCTGGGTGTATGGTGGCATGTGCCCGTAGTCCCAGCTACACAGGAGGCTCAGGCAGGAGGAGTCCCTGAGCCCAGGAGGTTGAGGCTGCAGTGAGACATGAACGCACCATTGCCCTCCAGCCTGGGCAACAGAGCTAGACCTTGTCTCGGAAAAAAAGGAAATAAACATAAATTAAAACAAATTGCAGGAGAGTCACAGAGTGCCTGCTACAGTATGGAATAGACGAGCTACCACCACACACTACAGCCCAGGCGCGTCTCACAAACGTGCTCAGTGAAAGCAGCCGGGTGCGTGAGAGAATACCGCCCAGTTACACTGATACAAACAGCAAAACGAGGCAAAACAAATCCAGAGTCCAGGAGCCAAGACAGAGGTCACCCTTGGTGAGGGGAGTAACCAGGTGGGGACAGGAGAAGGGCAACAATTCTCGAAATGTGGGCCAGGGACCGCTGAGGGTCCCTGGGACCATGCAGAGGGCTCTGCGAGATCAAACTATTTTCCTCGTGACACTAAGATGTTACTTTTCCTTTTCTGCTCTCACACCTGAGAACATTCAGTGGAGTTCTCCAGAGGCACCAGGACACGTGAGGACAGCATCAGGCTGACAGCTGGTGGAAATGTGTATGTGTGTACTCTTGTGTGTTAAAAATGTCTCCATTTTTCGTGTGTGTTTTTGAGACGACGTCTCACTCCGTCACCCAGGCTGGAGTGCAGCGGCACAATCACAGCTCACTGCAACCTCCTGAGCCCAAGTGATCCTCCTGCCTCAACCTCCTCAGTAACTGCAGCTACAGGTGTGCACCACCAGGCTTTGCTAATTTTTTTGCTTTTTGTAAAAATGAGGCCTCGCTATGTCACCCAGACTGGTCTCAAATTCCTGACCTCAAGGGATCCTCCTGCCCCAGCTTCTCAAAGTGTTGGGACAGACATAAGCCGCCGCACCTGGCCTAAAAATTTCTCAGTTTTAATCTCTAATACAGTAAACATCGATAAATATAACCCACATAAACAACCTCTTTGGGTGCTCATTCTATTTTTAACAGTTTTATTGAGAAATAATTCACGTACTGTATAATTTGCCATTTAAATTATATAAGTCAATGATTATTAGTATATTCACAGAGTTGTCAGGCATCACCAGAATCAACGTTAGGACAGTTATGCCACCCAAAAAAGAAACGTGGCGGGGCATGGTGGCTCAGGCCTGTGATCTTAGCACTTTGGGATGCCGAGGCGGGAAAATCACTTGAGCTCATGAGTTTGAGACCAGCCTGGGCATGTGGTAAAACCCCATCTCTACAAAAGATACAAAATATAGCCATGTGTGGTGGTGCACACCTATAGTCCCAGCTACTCAGGCGACTGAGGCAGCAGGATCACTTGAACCCAGGAGGTGGAGGTTACAGTGAGCTATGATCCACCACTGTACTCCAGCCTGGGTGATAGGGGGAGCCTCTGCCTCAAAAAAAGAAGAAAAAAAAGAAACCCTATACCCATTAGCAGTCACTCATTTTCCCCAATCTCCCCAGGCCTTGACAACCACTAGTCTACTTGTGTCCCTACAGATTTCCCCGATTTTGTACGTTTCATATGAATGGAATCACGCAACATGTGGTCTTTCTGTGTGTGGCTGCTTTCACTTAGTGTTTTCCTTTCTTTCTTCTTTTTTTTTTTTTGTTTTGAGATAGAGTCTTGCTCCATCTCCAAGGCTGGAATGCAATGGCGCGATCTCAGTCCACTGCAACCTCTGCCTCCCAGGTTCAAGCGATTCTCCCGCCTCACCCTCCCAAGATGCAGGGATTACGGGTGCCTGCCACCAAACCCGGCTAATGTTTTATATTTTTAGTAGAGACAGAGTTTGGCCATGTTGGCCAGGCTGGTGTTGAATGCCTGATTTCAGGTGATCCACCTGCCTCGGCCTCCCAAAGTGCTGGGATTACAGGCGTGACCCACCGCACCTGGCCTCACGTAGTGTTTTCAAGATTCATCTACATTACAGCATGTGTCAGTCCTTCATTCCTTTTTATGGCTGGATAATATTCCATTATATGCCTATCACATTGTATTTATCCATTCATCAGTTTTTTTTTTTTTTCTTTGTTTTTGTTTTGAGACGTAATCTTGCTCTGTCGCCCAGGCTGGAGTGCAGTGGTGTGATCTTGGCTCACTGCAACCTTCGCCTCCCACATTCAAGCAATTCTCCTGCCTCCGCCTTCTGAGTAGCTGGATTATAGGTGGGCGCCAACATGCCCAGCTAATTTTTGTATTTTTATTAGAAACGGGGTTTCACCATGTTGGTCAGGCTGGTCTCAAACCCCTGACCTCATGATCCACCAACCTTGGCCTCCCAAAGTGCTGGGATGACAGGCATAAGCCAGCGCACCTGGCGACCGTTCATCAGTTTTAAGGGTGTACAGGCACTGGGTACAGACAAATCTACTTTGAGAAAACCCACCAAGCCATACACTTACAGGTATGTGTACCTGGTTTTATATGCAAATTACATTTCAGCTTTGGCAAAGCATTTCTTTTTTTTTAACATGAACACTTTATGAATTTGTATGTCATCTTTGCACAGCGGCTGTACTAATCTTATCTGTCTCATTCCAGTTTTTATTATATGTGAGGCAGAAGCAAGCACAGCACAACAAAGCAATATTTAAGCTTTCATTAGTTTTGAAGGCTAGTTGTGGTGGCTCACACTTGTAATCCCAGCGCTTCAGGAAGCCAAGGTAAGAGGATCTCTTGAGCCCAGAAGTTCAAAGCTGCAGGGAGCCATGACTGTACCACCGCACTCCAGCTGGAGTGACAGAGCAAGACTCTATACCTTAATATAAAATTCAAAATAAAATAACATTTTATCGAGCTCATTATTGAGTGCTTACCCTGTTCCAGGCAGAATCCTAAGTGTCTTTGTGGATTCTCTGGCTGAATGCCCACAGTCACTCCAGGAAGTAAGAAAGTAGGGTATAGACTCAGACTGACCCTATCCAAACCCTAATCCTCTACCTACCCACAACTTTTTATTCTGAAAATTTTGAAAAAAAAATTCAGCTGGGTATGGTGGCTCATCCCTATAATCCCAGCACTTTGGGAGGCCAAGTGGGGAGGATCACTTGAGGCTAGGCGTTCCATACCAGCCTGGGCAACATGGTGAAAACCTAGCTCTACAAAAAATACAAAAAAATTAGCCGGGTGTGGTGGCATGTGTCTATAATCCCAGCTATTCAGGAGGCTGAGGTGGGAGGATCACCTGAGCCTGGGGAAGTCAAGACTGCAGTGAGCCGTGACTGTACCACTGCATTCCAACCTGGGTGACCCAGCAAGACCCTGTGAAAAGAAAAGAAAAGAAAAGAAAAGAAAAGAAAAAAAAAAAAAAAAAGAAAAGAAAAGAAAAGAAAAAGGCCGGGCGCGGTGGCTCAAGCCTGTAATCCCAGCACTTTGGGAGGCCAAGGCGGGTGGATCACGAGGTCAAGAGATCAAGACCATCCTGGTCAACATGGTGAAACCCCGTCTCTACTAAAAAAATACAAAAAATTAGCTGGGCATGGTGGCACGTGCCTGTAATCCCAGCTACTCAGGAGGCTGAGGCAGGAGAATTGCCTGAACCCAGGAGGCGGAGGTTGCGGTGAGCCGAGATCACGCCATTGCACTCCAGCCTGGGTAATAAGAGCGAAACTCTGTCTCAAAAAAAAAAAAAAAAAAAAAAAAGAAAAGAAAAGAGAAAAGAAAGAAATCCGAACAGGAAAGTTGCATGCATAATATCCTGAACACCTGCACACCCTCCACCCTGATTCAACATGGTACCATTGGGCTTCGTCTGCTTTATGTGTGCGTGTGCCCACACACTTGCTATTATTATTTTTTGCTGACCCACTTACATGTAGTTGCACTTAAGCTTTGCTAAGAATAAGGATATTCCCCTACATAATCACAGTACCATAATCACATGTAAGACAATTAACACTGATTCCCTAAAATCTGCCATCCAGCCCATATTCGGATTTTCCAATCGTCCCCAAAAAGTCTTTCGAGTTTTTTTCCAAACTGATAATCCAATCATGGTTCATATACTCCATCTGTCAAATGATGTCTCTTCCATCTCTTTTTAATCTAGACTATCCACCCCCACTTGTTTAAAGCATCAACTTGTTGAGGAATCTTACCCAAAAATGCTACACATCTAATTCCATCTCTGATGCACACAGACCCCTGGTGGCACTTCTATTTTCAACTTTCCGCTCCTGCTTCGAATTAGGAACTCCCAATGGCTTAAAGTTTTCTCAGATAATCTAATATATGGCCGGGCACAGTGGCTCGCACCTGTAATCCCAGCACTTTGGGAGGCCAAGGCAGGTGGCAGATCACTTGAGATCAGGCGTTCGAGGCCAGCCTGGCCAACATGGTGAAAACCCATCTCTACTAAAAACAAAAATTAGCCGGGTGTGGTGGCGCGTGCCTGTAATCCCAGCTTCTCGGGAGGCTGAGGCAGAAGAATCGCTTGAACTGGGAGGCGGAGATTGCAGTGGGCCAAGATGGCGCCATTGCACTCCAGCCTGGGCAACAGAGGAAGACTCCGTCTCAAAAAAAAAAAATCAATATGCTTCTCTTAATCATGACCCTGATAGTGGTTTAGGTGTGTTCAGAGCACTTCACAGTGACTCAAAGAGGTGGTAAATTATCATCACCTTCATCTTCCAGACGAGGAAACCAGAGCTCAGACAGGTGAAGTCACTTGCCCCAGGTCACAGGCAAAGCCAGGATCTGAACCCAGGCAGTATGGCTCACTCACCTGACTTTAAATGACCTCCTGGCAGGGACTTCTTAGCCATCTCGACCAGCGCTCCCAGCCCCAAGCCCACAGCCAGCCCTGGGGTGCAAGAGAAGAATATGAATGCCTGTTAGCCTGGGGTGCCCTGCCCCAACCCACGCTCCTTTCTCAGTTTCTCTCCAAGAATGCTTGTCTCCCAACTCTTTTTTTTCCTTTTGTTTGAGATGGAGTCTTGCTCTGTTGCCCAGGCTGGAGTGCAGTGGCACAATCTTGGCTCACTGCAACCTCTATCTCCCGGATTCAAGTGATTCTCTTGCCTCAGCCTCCCAAGTAACTGGGACTACAGGCATGCACCCACCAAGCCTGACTAATTTTTTTTTTTGTATTTTTAGTAGAGATGAGGTTTCACCATGTTGGCCAGGCTGGTCTCGAATTCCTGACCTCTGGTGATCCTCCTTCCTCGGCCTCCCAACGTGCTGGGATTACAGGCGTGAGCCACTGTGCCCAGCTGAATCTATATTTTTAAAACTTGAACTGGGCCAGACACAGTGGCTCATGCCTATAATCCCAACACTTTGGGAGGCTGAGGTGGGCACATCACAAGGTCAAGAGTTCGAGACCAGCCTGGCCTACATGGTGAAAGCCTGTCTGTACTAAAAATTCAAAAATTAGCCAGGCATGGTGGTGTGCACCTGTAATACCAGCTACTCGGGAGGCTGAGGTAGAATTACTTGAACTTGGGAGTCAGAGGTTGCAGTGAGCTAAGATCGTGCCACTGCACTCCAGCCAGGGGGACAGAGCAAGACTCCATCTCAGGGTGGGGGGAACTTGAACCATAATCTGCAGTAAAGAAGATATTGACATTATAAACAGTGCAGACCAAAGTATATGTTTCATGAAACAAGATTTTCCCTTGTTCCACAGGTACACGCATATTTTTCATGCAGGTTGTGACCTGCATGAAATCCAGCTATGTAACCCAGAGTCAAGTTATCTCCCTCTGTTCGCCTCAATGTCCTCATCTACAGAATGCATTGATTCAGTGCAGCATGTGTATATATGCGGCACTGCACATTACAGGTTTTCAGTAAATGTTATCATAGCCAGGAGGAGTGGCTCATGCATAGAACCCCAGGACTTCAGGCAGAGGCAGGAGAATCGCTTGAGACAAGGAGCCCGAGACCGACTGGGACAACATAGGCAGACCTTACCTCCACAGAAAAAAAATTTTAATTATGTGGGCCAGGTTCAGAGGCTTGCTGGGCACTGTGACTCACGCCCATAATCCCAACACTGTGGGAGGCTGAGGCGGGCACATCACTTGAGGTCAGGAGTTGGAGACCAGCCTGGCCAACATGGTGAAACTCTATCTCTACTAAAAGTACAAAAATTAGCCAGGTGTGGTGGCGGGTGCCTGTAATCCCAGCTACTTGGGAGGCTGAGGCAGGAGAATCATTGAACCTGGGAGATGGAGGTTGCAGTGAGCCGAGATCACGCCCTTCCATACCAGCCTCGGTGACAGAGCCAGACTCCACCTCAAAAAAAAAAAAAAATTACCAGGCATGATGGTGCACAGTCGTTGTCCCAGCTACTCAGGAAGCTAGGCGAGAGAATTCCTTGAGTCCAGGAGTTCAAGGCTGTGGTGATTGCGCCACTGCACTCCAGACTGGGTAACAAAGTGAGACCCTGTCTCAAAAATAAAAAACAACAAAAAAAACGAAAATCATCATTTATGTTCCTCTCAATTTCTTTTGACTTTGCAGGCCCTTTGTCTCTCTTTCTCTCTCTCTCCTGTCTCTGATGCATCTCCCTTGCTTCAATCTGTAATTGTTGCCTCTTCAAGGTCACACCAAGATCCCCCAAAGTCACACCTACCACCAAAGTTGGCCAAGCGGCTGATGCGGGAGGCAGGCACCTTGCGTTCTCGAGAGCGGTCACTCAGCTGGGAAATGGGGACAAGGTCTGAGGGTGGGAAAGCGAGCATTGTGCCCAGAGAGTGCAGCCACCCTGCCACCACATCCTTCCCCAAGCTCAGGGAGCCAGCAGCCTTTGTGGGGTGTTGTTGGGTGGGGGCAGGGTGACGATACCTGGGGCCGGGGTGTTTTCCTGGGACGCGCCTCTCGTGCCCTACGAATGTCCTCTTCACCCAGGCCTCTCCCAGGCCCATCCTGGTAAAACTTTTGGGCCCAAGAACCTCCACATGGCCACTGCAAGAGATACACTTTGGTCAGGAGGGGAAGACAAGGGGTCACTTGGCCCTTCTGGACTCCTCCAGTCCTTTCACTCTCTGGTCTTCCTCAGCCTCTTCCCCTTGGGGACCCGCTCCCCAGCGTCTTACCCAGCAGTGGGGCCCAGGCCCCTGGGCCCCACAAGGTCGACTAACAGTCTGGCCCAGCTGTCCACCAGTCCCCCGAAGTAGGCCCCCGACCTTCAGCCACATTGCCTGGGGGAGGAGAGGAGGGGTTATTCAGGTGGCTTCTTGGCCAGGCCCCAACGTTCCTCTATGTCCACCCTCTCTGATTCCCACCCACCAAGTACTTCCTCCACTATTAATAGATTCCCACAGCTTCTGCTGGTTCTCTCCTGGTTGCTAGGAACCCTTAGCTTCTCCTGCGCGCCTCCAAAACGCACTTCCCCCTCTTCAGCCCCCACCGTTGCTAGGGTCCTCCCCCGTTACTAGACACCCACAGTTCCTCCGGGGCTACCTCTCTGCTCCTCTGAAATCGTTGCTTGGCACCGCCTTCCCCTCTAATGGCCCTGTAGGCGCCCGCAATTCCTCCGGTGTCCCCCTTAATCCCCACCTCGTTACTGGGCACCTCCCCTGTTGCTAAGCACCCACTGCTCTCAGGCTCAGAGTTCACAACGTGCTGCGGGCTTTCTGTGCTTCCGGGAGCCTCAGCATGCCTGCCCCTTCGACCAGCCAACCAATGGCGCTGCAGCAACTCGCTGAATGGCATGAAGTTTGTCCATCTGTGCGCGGGGGGCGGGGCCAGAAGGGAGGCCCTGCGGTGAAGCCGGGCTTTAGGGTGGGTGTCCGGGGCCCGCCTGGGGGGATTGCTGGGGCATCGCGGGAGCGCACGCGTGCCCTGTCTGCCTTTCCACTCACCTCAAAGCGCCTTGTACGCAACAGACCCTTCTGTTCCCTACACTATCCTTCTTGCAAAGTCTCCCTTACAAACCTCACACCTCTCTTTTGTACGAATATCTTGCCAACTCCCCTTCTCATTTTTACTCCGGGCAGGCTCAACACATCTCCTTTGAATACACATTCTTCCCAGCAAACATTTCCCTTGCACATGGAGCTCCTCCACTTTGCACAAACACCCACATTCTGGCACCCAACCTCCTTCCTTGTGCATATAAACCCCTTGCCTTGCTTGCCAAGTGTCTCCCACTCACGCCTTCAACTGAGTCTCTGTTCCCTCACACACCCTGCTCTCCCAGCTCCCCGCCCACCTGCGGCATGGTGCGACTGGGAGCCCTCTGCTTCCTGTAGGCCTGACATTTCCCAGAACACACTCAGCCAAGATTCCCAGTGCTGAGTCAGGAACCTTGGCATCCCAGAAAAACAGCTCCCAGCCTATCTCTGTGTGTGTGTGTGTGTGTGTGCACGCGCGTGTTGGAAATCCTGCTCTACCCACAACAGGCTGACTCACCCACTTCTCACAGTCTGGAATAGAAGCAGCTGGTTGGGGCATCCTTCCCACCACTGGGAGAGGGAGGGATGCCGATGCTTTTCCCACAGAACCCCGCTGCCCCAACCCCTCTTGTCGGGAATCAGGCCTCTTTGTCTCTATTCCAGTACTGTGTGACTCAGAGAAGCCCTCATCCCGCTCTGGACTTCTGCTTCCCAACTTGTATGATGTACTGGGTGGGCTCCTGGCTTTGATTTCTCATTGGTCTGTGAAGAGGTGATTCATTTTAGATCCTTTGACCTGTGCCCAATGTCTCCCCAGGTGACTAAATTTCTTTTCTTTCTTTCTTTCTTTTTTTTTTTTTTTTGAGACGGAGTTTTGCTCTTGTTGCCCAGGCTGGAGCGCAATGGCGCAATCTCGGTTCACAGTAACCTCCGCCTCCTAGGTTCAAGCGATTCTCCTGCCTCGGCCTCCCGAGTAGCTGGGATTACAGGCATTCGCCACCACACCTGCCTATTTTTTGTATTTTTAGCAGAGACGGGGTTTCTCCATGTTGGTCAGTCTGGTCTCGAATTCCTGACATCAGCTGATCCGCCCGCCTTGGCCTCCCAAAGTGCTGGGATTACGGGCGTGAGCTATGGCGCCGGGCCAAGGTGACTCAATTTCAAGACAATCCACCTCCTGCCCCCTTCAGACGTGAAGGGCTGACTCAGGGGCTGGGTGGCAGCTCAGCCTTGGGGGCAAAATATATAAAAAGCACCTATGAGGGCTGGGTGTGGTGGCTCACGCCTGTAATCCAAGCACTTTGGAGGCCAAGGCGGGCAGATCACCTGAGGTCGGGAGTTCAAGACTAGCCTGACCAACATGGTGAAACCCCGTATTAAAAAAAAAAAAAAAAAAAGGCCGGGCGCGGCGGGCCAGGCCTGTCATCCCAGCACTATGGGAGGCTGAGGCGGATGGATCACGAGGTCAAGAGATCGAGACCATCCAGGTCAACACGGTGAAACCCCGTCTCTACTAAAAATACAAAAAATTAGCTGGGCATGGTGGCGCGTGCCTGTAATCCCAGCTACCCAGGAGGCTGAGGCAGGAGAATTGCCTGAACCCAGGAGGCGGAGGTTGCGGTGAGCCGAGATCGCGCCATTGCACTCCAGCCTGGGTAACAAGAGTGAAACTCCGTCTCAAAAAAAAAAAAAAAAAAAGCACCTATGACAATAACTAACCCTACTAGGCTACAGCTGACAATGCCAGGCCCGGGGCCACATGCTTCACATACATGAGGTCGTATCAGATAGCCCCGTAGCTGCAAACAAAGGGTAGAGGCCGGCTGATCTCTGAGCCTCTGTCCTCACGTGTAAAATGGAGCCCTGGCATCCCTATTATTCAGCTGCAGAGAATGAACTGAAATAGTGTCGGGGTCTGATACAGAACAAGTGCTCTATACATGAGAGAGATTTCTTACGTAAACTTCAATGAATGTAAGTCATTAGCTCAGGAGGGCGGAGCTGGGAACGGGCAGAGGAAGGTCTCGAACCTTCATCCGTGGGATCTCCAAGTCTTTTAAAGTCCGTTCCGCCCCTGCGTGAAGAATGGGCGCGCGGCTAGACTCGTCCCTGGGGGTTTTAGTGAAGGTTGCACTTGTCATTCGACGGTGCAGGGAGGGTGGATTAGTCACAAGGGTGGAGGAATACGGCCAACTGGCGCGCCACCAGGACCCCAGTGCCCTAGATGCTTACCTGGTTGCGCTTCGGCAGCTCAGAGGCAACACCCCCCTGGGAGGCGGAGTCGGACGAGGCTCCGTCTCGTTCCATTACGTCACGTCCGGTGGGGCGGGGCTTCGGGGCTTTCCCTTGGAAGGGGAGTATCGGTTAACCCTTGAGCGGCGGGGCGGGCTGGAGCTCCGCGGGCCGGAACCTGAGAGTCGGGGCTACCCAGCCACACCCCTCACGGGATTTAAAGGGATAGAAGGGGCCGGATCGGCCGAAACCCGAACCGAAGGAGCGGGCATGAGGCGCTGCCCGTGCCGCGGGAGCCTGAGCGAGGCGGAGGCCGGGGCGCTGCCCGCAGCGGCCCGCATGGGACTGGAGGCGCCGCGAGGAGGGCGGCGGCGGCAGCCGGGACAGCCGCGACCTGGGCCCGGCTCAGGGGCCCCGGCGGCGCGGCCGGAGGGGGGCGGGCCCTGGGCCCGGACGGAGGGGCCCAGCCTCGGTCCTACTCCGGGGACCGATAGTCCACAGACAGAATTCTGGACAGACGGACAGAGTGAGCCCGCGGCAGCTGTCCTTGGAGTAGAGACCGACAGGCCCAACCAAAAGACGGAGCCAGACAGGTCCAGCCTCCAGACGCATCCAGAAAGGAGCTGGTCAGAGCTGGAGACGACCTGTCCTTGGACGGAGACCGGGACAGATGGCCTTTGGACGGATCCGCACAGGTCCGACCTCCAGTCTCAGCCCGAGAAGGCCAGCCCCTGGACACAGCCAGGGGTTGATGGGCCCTGGACAGAGCTGGAAACACATGGGTCACAGACTCAGCCAGAGAGGGTCAAGTCCTGGGCTGATAACCTTTGGACCCACCAGACCAGTTCCAACCTCCAGACTCACCCAGAAGGAGCCTGTCCCTCAACAGAGCCAAGTGCTGATGGCTCCTGGAAAGAACTGTACAATGATGGCTCCTGGACACAACGGAATATTGAAGGTCCCTGGACAGAGCCATGCACTGATGGCTCCCAGAAAAAACAGGATACTGAAACAGCCAGGAAACAGCCTGGCACTGGTGGTTTCCAAACACAACAGGATACTGATGGCTCCTGGACACAGCCTGGCACTGATGGTTCCCAGACAGCACCTGGGACAGACTGCCTGTTGGGAGAGCCTGAGGATGGCCCATTAGAGGAACCAGAACCTGGGGAATTGGTGACTCACTTGTACTCTCACCTGAAGTGTAGCCCCCTGTGCCCTGTGCCCCGCCTCATCATCACCCCTGAGACCCCTGAGCCTGAGGCCCAGCCAGTGGGACCCCCCTCCCGGGTTGTTGGGGGCAGTGGCGGATTCTCCTCTGCCTCCTCTTTCGACGAGTCTGAGGATGACGTGGTGGCCGGGGGCGGAGGTGCCAGCGATCCCGAGGACAGGTCTGGGGTGAGTGGGACCCATCCTGCCCTTGAGCCACATCCCCCAAAACTCCTTATTTCCCTGCCTTGTTTGGGAAGTTCTCTACCAATTTACTCTTAGTTGCCCACCAGCAATTTCATCTCCAGGAACCTCTTCCATCCACTAACCTCCTGCCTCTGACAGCCAAGTTACTAACCCACTCCAGGCACCCTCTCTTAATTCTCTCCTTTTCCCTTCCTGCACTGTCTCCAGTCCTGGGGGTCTGCAATGGACAGCCACTGACCGACTTCATGGGGCCCAGGAACCCCTGAAATTGTAGAACTAAGTGAGTCTGTGTGTGTTCACATATATTGTTGTAGTGAGGGTCTGACCTCTGTTGAATCCTCTGGAATCTGAAGAATACTGGAATAGGGAGACAGGCAGGGTGCACTTTCTACCCCACATTTCTTTGTCTGGGGCCTGTGGCTGTCTTAAAGGTTCACAAACCTTCACCACCTCTTAGCCCATTTGTATGCATATTTTTTTATTTTTTGAGATGGAGTTTCGCTCTTGTTGCCCAGGCTGGAGTGCAATGGTACGATCTTGGCTCACCGCAACCTCCGCCTCCCAGGTTCAAGTGATTCTCCTGCCTCAGCCTCCTAAGTACCTAGGATTACAGGCATGTGCCACCACACCCAGCTAATTTTGTATTTTTAGTAGAGATGGGGTTCCTCCATGTTGGCCAGGCTGGTCTCGAATTCCTGATCTCAGGTGATCTGCCCGCCTCGGCCTCCCAAAGTGCTGGGATTACAGGCATGAGCCACTGCGCCCAGCCTGTATGTACATTTTTCTAGGGAGTGAAGCAAATTCCCCCAGCTTTTCATCAGATTCTCAAAGGGCTGTGTGAACCCCAAATGCCAAAGGATTCTCAACCTAGCCAGGAGCCCACCTGGTCTCCCCTGTGACCCTCAGGTCCCCAAGAAGCCCACTCTCGTTTATTTTGTCCACCCTCACCCCTAGGTGTGGCTCTTCTCTGGTGAATCAGGAGGGCTGGCCAGGCAGGTTCAGGGAGGGCCGGACAGAGCAGAGGCTGATGTGAAACTGGAGAGACTCACGTGGGGCTGGGAGCGGAGTCCGGAGTCCATCAGCTTGTCAGCTTGCCTGCTGAGGCCTCTCATTGCTCTGGGGCCCCTCACCCCACATGTCTGCCTTAGGGACATGTTCACACATGTGGCCCTAACTGTGAGAGATAGACCTGCCTTGACGTGCCTGTGCCCGTGCGCAGGGGCTGACCCTCCCGGGCCTTCTGCCGTCGCTTTTTCCCCTCGGCCTGCCGTCTCACCTCCTTGGCATGTCAGAACAGCTGGGCTGGAAGTGGGTGAATAGTAATAATAATAATGGTAACAACAACAGCTAGAACTCACTCATGTTTAGCCCGGTGCTAAGTGCTGTGCTCTTAACAACTCACTCACTCCTCACAGCAGCCCTAATCAGGTAGATATATTTTTTTCTGAGACAAGAGTTTCCCTCTTGTTGCCCAGGCTGGAGTGCAATGGCACCATCTGGGCTCACCACAACCTCTGCCTCCCCAGGTTCAAGCGATTCTCCTGCCTCTTCTGCCCCAGTCTCCCAAGTAGCTAGGATTACAGGCATGCACCACCACGCCCGGGCTAATTTTGTATTTTTTTGTTTTTAGTCAAGATGGGGTTTCTCTATGTTGGTCAGGCTGGTCTCAAACTCCCGACCTCAGGTGATCTGCCCACCCCAGCCTCCCAAAGTGCTAGGATTGCAGGCATAAGCCACTGCACCCGGACTTTTTTTTTTTGAGACAGAGTCTCTCTCTGTCACCCAGGCTGGAGTGCAGTGGCGCAATCTCAGCTCACTGCAGCCTTTGCCTCCTGGGTTCTCCTGACTCGGCTCACTGCAGCCTTTGCCTCGTCAATTCTCCTGCTTCAGCCTCCCTAGTAGCTGGGACTACAGGCGCCCACTACCACACCTGGCTAATTTCTGTATTTTGAGTAGAGATGGGGTTTCACCATGTTGGCCAGGCTAGTCTCAAACTCCTGACCTCAAGTGACCCACCCATCTCAGCCTCCCAAAGTGCTGGGATTACAGGCATGAGCCACAGTGTCTGGCCAAGGTAGATACTATTATTATCTCTTTTTACAGATGAGGAAACTGAGGCGCAAAGAGGTCAAGTCACTTGTCCAAGGATACACACATTGGAAGATGCAGATCGGATTCAAATCCTTACTGTACACCAGGCACTATTTTCAGTTTTCTTTTCTTTTCTTTTTTTTTTTTTTTTTTGGTCTTTTTTGTTGTTAAATTTTTCTTTTTCTTTTTTTCTTTTTTTTTTTTTTTGTTTTTTGTTTTAGAGACGGGGTTTCACCACGTTGGCCAGGGTGGTCTTGAACTCCTGACATCAGGCAATCCACCCGCCTCGGCCTCCCAAAGTACTGGGATTACAGGCGTGAGCCACTGCACCTGGCCTTTTCTTCGTGTCATTTTTTTAAATCTTAACATCTGTCTTAATGAAGGGCTTTATATGTGTTAACTATGAATCCTTACGGCAGCACTAAGGTTGTCTCCATTCCACAGATGGGGAAGCTGAGGCATAGAGAGGTGAGTTCATTTGCTTAGGGTTGGCCAGGTCAAGTCAGAGCCAGGATTCTCACTCAGTTCTGGCTGAGTTTCAGACCCATCGTTTTAAACCTTGCAGCATGTGGCTCTGTTCCTAACTTGTCTCCCTCCCAGGCCTCTCTGTCTCCAGTTTTTGGTCATCCTTCCAGGATCTGCCTCCATGGCCCAGCTCTGGGCAGACACCACCCTGCTCAGGTGCCCTCTCTGAGAGCAGTCAGGGGCTGGCTCAGTGCTGCGTTCAGAGCCTCCGGTCTCCAGGCACCTTCCCAGACCGGGCTTCCTTCCCTCCTCCTGACCCCCTCTGCCGTAACGAGGCGTGAGTACACGCTGTTCCTTGAACACCCTGCTGCTGTCCTGCCTCCACACATTGCTCAAGCCGTTCCCACTGCCAGCATCCCCTTGCTTCCTTCTCCTTAATTTTGAAATCCTGTCTGACCATAAAGGCTCAGCTTCCTTTTTCCCTTTCCTCCTTCCTTCCTTCTCATCATCCCCTCCTTTTTTTTAAATTGTGTTCCTTTTCTCTCTCTCTCTCTTTCTCTCTTGCTCTCTTGCTTTCTTGCTTTCTCTCTTTCTTGTAGGGACAGTGTCTCACTGTGTTGCCCAGGCTCAGGCTGGTCTTGAACTCCTGGGCTCAAGTGATCCTCCTGCCTCATCCTCCCAAAGTGCTGGGATTATAGGTGTGAGCCACTGCTATCCCATTTTTCTCATCAGACAAAAATCACTCCCTAAGGCTCTGCTATGTGTTTGGCTCTATGTTAGCTTTGCTGGGGTAAAAGTAGTGATCAGGACACTAATAGGGCTCCCAGACCCATGAGAGAGACAGACCCATCAGCAGACAGTCACAGTTCAGAGTGGTCAGGAGGTTGTGTGAGCCCAGCAGAGGTCACTGGCCAGACATGGGGTGTCAGAGAGGGCTTCCTGGAGGAAGGGGCATATAAGCTGAGACCATGATGAAAAAATTCTGAGAAAGCACAGGTAAACCATCAGATCTAACATTTTTTTTGAGGCATAGTTTCACTCTGTTGCCCAGGCTGTAGTCCAGTGGTGAGATCTCAGCTCACTGCAATCTCAGCCTCCCAGATTCAAGTGAGTCTCCTGCCTCAGCCTCCCAAGTAACTAGGATTACAAGTGCACGCCACCACGCCCAGGTAATTTTTTTTATTTTTAGTAGAGGTGGGATTTCACTATGTTGGCCAGGCTGGTCCTGAACTCCTGACCTTAGGTGATCCACCCACCTCAGGCTCCCAAAGTGCTGGGATTACAAGCATGAGTCACTGTGCCTGGCCCAGATCTAACATAAAACAGAAAGAGAAGATATTAAATTTATGATTAAGGAGCCAGGTGTGGTGGCTCACACCTATAATCCCAGCACTTTGGGAGGATGAGGCAGGAGGTTTGCTTGAGCCCAGAAATTTGAGACCTCCCTGGGTGACATAGTGAGACCTTGTCTCTACTAAAAGTAAAAAGGAATTAGCCAGGTGTGGTGGTGTACGCCTGTGTCCCAACTACTTGGGAGGCTAAAGCACGAGGATCGCTTGAGTCTGGGAGGCGGAGGTGCAGTCAGCCAAGATCATATCTCTGCACTCCAGCCTGGGCAACAGAGTGAGATCCTGTCTCAAAAAAAAAAAAATTATGATTAAAAACATCTCAACTAACATCCTTCAATCCAAGTATCAAAGGTTTCTGGGGCATCTGTTGTGTGCCAGGCTGTGTGCCTGGGACATAATCATAACCACAGCAACCCCAGTCTCTGCCTTCATGAGCTTATAGTCCGGCAAGAGTGTAGCGGGGTAAGCCCCAAGGCACTGGGATCCAACCAGAGCTAGAACCCCTGTGCTGTGCAGGGTGATGCTGGGTAAGTGGCTTCACCTCTCAGACCCTCTGTTTCCTCCTCTGTAATACCAAGACAATAATCTCTCTGTGGTTGTGTTTTTAGGAATTAAGTAGGTTGTGGCACACCGAGTCTTTGTCATTGTGCCTGGAATGTTCCAGGTACTTAGTAAACAGGAACCTTTATTAATCATCTCTTCCCCAGGGCTGGCAGCTGGATTGGGGCGGGACTAGCCTTTCCTGAACCCTGAAGCTCAAAAGCGTGACTCCCTGTTAACCTTCCCACTGTCAATGAGATGCCTGCAAGGTAGCTGGGCTCTGAGGGGGCTGGAGAGATGGACACGCCCTTGATCCTGGGGTAGGAGGGGATGAGCCACACAACTTCCTTCTCTGGAGGTGACCTACTCTCCCAGTACTTGCTAAGGGACTCTACGTGCTTATGGGGCGCAGAATGTATTCCTGTGTGTGTATGTGTTCGTGAGCCAGATACTAACCCTGTCAAAAAGCTCATAGTTTAGTCAGCATGATACAACGAAATCTCTGTTTTCTGTTTGCCTCTCTGGTTTTATTTCTTTTCTTCTTTTTTCTTTTCTTTTTTTTTTTGAGTCAGGGTCTCACCCTGTTGCCCAGGCTGGAGTGCAGTGGCACAGCTGGGAGGCCGTGGCAGGTGGATTACCTGAGGTCAGGAGTTTGAAACCAGCCTGACCAACAGAGTGAAATGAAACTCTGTCTCTACTAAAAATGCAAAAATTAGCCGGGTGTGGTGGATCTTGCCTGTAATCCCAGCTAGTCAGGAGGCTGAGGCAGGTGAATCTCCTGAACCCTGGAGGCGGAGGTTGCAGTGAGCCCAGATCCCACCATTGTACTCCAGCCTGGGCAACAAGAGTGAAACTCCATCTCGAAAAATAAATAAATAATAATTTTTTGGTAGAGACGGGGGTCTTGCTATGTTGCTCAGGCTGGCCTCAAGCTCCTTGGTTTCCCAGTGTTGAGATTACAGCCGTAAGCCACCGCACTCGGCTGCTTCTGTGATTTCCTATCATTCTCAGTCTCTCTCTTTTTCTATGTCTATTCATCTTTTTCTTTTTATCATTACTTTGTATCTCTCTCTCTTTCAGTCTTCCTATATTTCTTTTTTTTTTTTTTTTTTTTAGATGGAGTATCGCTCTGTTGCCCAGGCTGGAGTGCAGTGGCGTGTTCTTGGCTCACTGCAACCTCCACCTCCTGGGTTCAAACAACTCTCATGCCTCAGCCTCCCGAGTAGCTGGGACTACAGGTGTGTGCCATGACACCTGACTAATTTTTGTATTTTTAGTAGAGATGGGGTTTCACCATGTTGGCCAGGCTGGTCTCAAACTCCTGACCTCAGGTGGTCCATCCGCCTCACCCTCCTGAAGTGCTGGGATTACAGGTGACAACCACCACACCTGGCCTGTTTCTTTCTATTTTAGCAATTCTATACCAGTCTCTGTATTTGTCAGGGTAGGTCAGGATTTGCCACAGTAACAAGTAGCCCCCAAATCTTAGTGACTTAGAACAACAAGGGATTATTTTGGTTTATATTACACATTGGCCATAGGTCAGTGGTGGGGTGGGTCAGGGGCTCTGCTTCATGCTGTCTTCACTCAGGGGCCCAGGCTGAGGGAGCTTTCGTTTCTCTTCTTACTCTGTCACCCACAGGGGAACGAACATGGAGAGTCATGAACTGGCTTTTAAGCCTCCTCCACAAAAGTGACACTTCTGCTCAAAGTTAATTGGTCAAAGCAAGGCCAGGTGTGGTGTCTCACACCTGTAATCCCAGCACTTTGGAGACCAAGATGGGAGGATTGCATGAGGCCAGGAGTTCAAGACCAGCCTGGGCAACATAGCAAGATGCCATGAAATAGCTGGGCATGGTGGCACACACCTGTAGTCCTGGCTACTCTGGAGTCTGGGATGGGAGGATTGCTTGAGTCCAGGAGTTGGAGGTTGAGGTTGCAGTGAGATATGATGGTGCCATTATTCTGCAGTCTGGGTGACAGAGATCCTGTCTCTCTAAAAATGAAAAAAAAAAACCAAAAACAAAACCTCGGTTCAGGAAGGCAGGAGGGACATCTCTGGACGAGTAGCAGGAGCTGTGTGGTGAACAGCCCTCATGACTGCCGTGGTCTCTACTGCTGTCCCCGTCTCTGTCTGTCATCACTACATCATCTGTCTCTGTTTCTGTCTCTCTCTGTGGTCCATCTCCATCCATCAACTCCTGCCTCTATCATTTTCCCCAGGAGGTCTGACCTGGTTTAGGGACAGAGATGGGGTTTCCAAGATTTGTGACTGGGCCCAACATAATTGCTCACGCCTATAACCCCAACAGTTTGGGAGACTGAGGCAGGCTGGACGTGGTGGTAGGTGCCTGTAATCCCAGCTACTCAGGAGGCTGAGGCAGAAGAATTGCTTGAACCTGCAAGGTGAAGGTGGAGTGAGCTGAGATCGTGCCACTGCACTCCAGCTTGGGCGACAGAGCAAGATGCCGTATGAAAAAAAAAATAATAAAAAGGTTTCGGATTGTGTATGTGCTGTGGAAGATGTAGGGGTTAGTTGTTACCACAGCAAAACCTAGCCTATCCTTCCTCATAGGAGAAGGACAGAGAGACATAGATGCAAAGAAACTGAAGACAGAGGAAGAAATTGACAAAGAACTTCCCGTATCTTGCTGAGGCCTTTGGGTGATCTCATGATTGAACTGAGTGGGGTTCACTCACCTCAACAAGCCTGGGAACAGTGATCCCAGGAAGCCCCGGCCCTGGAAAGACTGCAGGTTCCCCTTCCTTCCCCCTCATTGCAGCACCTCTAGCCCTGCCTTCCCTGACCTTGGCCCTGACCCCACCCTGCTCTGCCCCCAACAGAGCAAACCCTGGAAGAAGCTGAAGACAGTTCTGAAGTATTCGCCCTTCGTGGTCTCCTTCCGAAAACACTACCCTTGGGTCCAGCTTTCCGGACATGCTGGTGAGAGTGGGGCGGTCGTGGACAGGGCTGCACAGAGTCTCCTGGGCCAGGGAAAGGGATGTTCTCTGCAGTTCCCCAAACTAGTGATGGGCTTGGTGACAGTCCCCACCTTATGGGGCTGTTATGGTCAGTGCTTAGGCCTGGACCTGGCTCTTATGTCAGAACAAAGGGCTATTCCCTGTTATTCTGGTGGAGAGAGGGAGCTTCAGCTGTGGGGACAGATGGGCCTGGGCTCAAACCCTAGTGCTGCTCTGTATTCATTGGTGACCCTGGGCCAGTTACTTTCCTTTACCTGGCCTCAGCTGCACCGTCTGTTAATGTGGAGATGATCTTACCTCCCTTGCAGGATTAACTGAAAAGGTAAAATCAAAATGAGTATAAAGATTGAGGCCGGGCACTGTGGCTTACATCTTTAATCCCAGCACTTTAGCAGGCCAAGACCTGAGGATCGCTTGAGCCCAGGAGGTCAAGACCAATCTGGGCAACATAGTGAGACCTTGTCTCAATTTAAAAAAAAGGATTGGCCAGGCGTGCTGACTCATGTCTGTAATCCCAGCACTTTGGGAGGCTGAGGCGGGTGTTCCACCTGAGGTCAGGAGTTCAAGACTAGCCTGGCCAACATTGTGAAACCCCGTCTCTACTAAAAATACAAAAATTAACCAGACGTGGTGGCAGGCACCTGTAATCCTAGCTACTTAGGAGGCTGAGGCAGGAGAATCACTTGAACCTGGGAGGAGGAGGTTGCAGTGAGCTGAGATCGTGCCACTGCACTCCATCCTGGGCCACAGAGTGAAACTCTGTCTCAGAAAAAAAATGATTGAGGCACAGGACCCTCATGAGTGGAAATGATCACTCCTTGCCCTCTCCCCATGTTCAGAGCTTAGTAGGCCTTCAGTAAATAGCAACTATAACAGTTTGCCCCTGGGACCTCGCAAAATCCTCCAGCACATAGTAGCAAATGCATAGCATATAGCACTGTTTTGAAGGGCTAGACCGTAAATATCTTAGGTTCTGTGGGCCATGTGGTCTCTGTTGCAGCTACTCAGCTCTGCTATTACAGCAGGAAAGCTGCATAGACGCTATGTAAACATATGAGTGTGCCTGTATTCCAATAAAACTTTATTTACAAAAAACAGCAGCAGGCTGGACTAGAAAGCTGTGCCCATCAGCAAACAGAGACAGTAAGAGAACTTGCCTGCCTTTTTTGTCATTAGATCTGACCTGGAAATAAGGCAAGGTCCCCTAAGACTGTGGCAACATAAGTCTTTCATCTATGTGTTCTAGTTACTATGGCTGAGTTTATTTTAAAAAAACAAAAAAATATCAGCAGGTCACAGTGGCTCATGGCTGTAATTCTAGCACATTGGGAGGCTGAGGTGGGAGGATGGCTTCAGCCAGGGAGTTCAAGACCAGCCTGGGCGACATAGCAAGACCCTGTGTCTATGAAAGATTAAAAAATTAACCAGGCATGGTGTTGTGCACCAGTGGTCCCAGGTACTTGGGAGGCTGAGGTGGGAGGACTGCTTGAGTCCAGGAGGTCTGGGCTGCAGTGAGCCTTGATCGCACCACAGCACTCCAGTCTAAATGACTGAGTGAGACCCTGTCTCAAAAATAAAATAAAAAACAAAAACTCCAAACCCCCAAACTTAGTGATGGTAAAAAAAAAAAAAAAAAAAAAAAAAAAAAAAAAAAAAAAAAAAAAAA